GATCAGGAACAGGGGGGGGTAACTGGGGACCGCGGTGGGGGAAGCGACGGTAGTAGGAGACGGACTCGTCAAAGGTGACGTCGCGAGAGTGAAAGAAGCGGTGAGACGGCGGGGTAGAAAGTGCCAGTCGGACGCGTCAAGGGGAAAACCGAGGAAGACGCAGGGAAGGGTGCGGGCAGTGAGCTTGTCCGTGCCGGAGGCACGGACGTGAGCAAGGCAGCCCCAGACGTGGAACGCAGACGCGTCACCAGGAGACCCAGTCCAAAGACGGGTCGGCGAAACCTGCGGCTGCTGGGGGCGGCACAAGGTTAAGCTGGTGAGAAGCGTAGCGCACAGCGAACGGCCACAGAAAATGGGGTGCACCGGCATGGATCATGGAGGTGCGAGCCACCTCCATGACCAAACCGATGCGTCGCTCAGCGACCCCATTCTGCTGTGGGGAGTCCGGTAGGGTGAACGTCTGGGTGATGCCCTCCGCACGACAAAAGCGACCAAGGACACCTGAGGCAAACTCGCCACCACGGTCGGAGTGAAGGCGCAAGACAGGGAGACCTCGGTGGACACGGCAGAGACAAGCCAGGGATGAGAGCGTCAGGCACGTCGGCCTTCCGCTCCAGGGAAAGACGAGGTGTAGCGAGTGAAGTCGTCGACAAGCACAAGGAAGTAGCGCTCTCGACGCGGCCCATGGACGGGGCGGGGCCCCAGACGTCCATGTGCAGGGTCTGCAGCGGCGCGGGTAGGGGGAAACGAGGAGGAGTGAGGGGCACGGCGAAGCCGACCCTCGACGCAAGGCGTGCAAGGTGGGGCGGGGAGGAGGGAAAAGCGGGGAGAACCAGGGAGACCAAGGACGAGACCGTGCTGGGACATGTGTGCAGACGCGGGAGCGCAGGGTGACCTAGGCGGTGGTGCCAAAGGAGAGTCGGGTGAGTGAGGGACCGACAGGAGCAGGCAGCGGCAACCTGGGTAGACGCAGCCACCTGAGGGGTGCCCCAGCCGGGGGGTCACGGTGTCCAGAGTGAACAGGCCGGACACCGGGTCCCGGGGGAACGTGGACAGGGGGGCACCAGTGGCGGCCTCGGTACAGACAGCATACCGCTCGTGACCAGGGAACGTAGTGGTGACGCCAAGGTCTGGAGGCAGCCGACACCAACTAGGTTCCTGGAGAACGAGGGGATATGCAGACCTGTAAGAGAGCCCGAAGGAACCGCCGGACAGGGAAGGGTGGTGGAACTGCGGGCGACTACCGGACCGCCGGAGGGGTCAGCAAGAGAAACGGCAGCAGGAACAGGAAGCGGCGTCAGGTAGTAGAGTCGCGGAAGAAGCACCGGGAAGCGCCAGAGTCCAAGGTGAAGGAAAGCGAAGCAGTGGCGTCCGGCGACAGGGCGACGGCGGAAGCACCAAGCTAAACAAAGCAGGGGATCCTACGCCTGACGCAGCAGGGGAGGCTAAGCTAGGCACACCTACACTGACGACAGGGAGTAATAAGTGGGGAAGCGCACTAGAGTCATCAGCATACATCACATGCAGAGCAGAAACAATGGCATCCATGTCCATGTCAAAAATCTGAATCCTACGACTAAGCAAACTGTGCCAGTCTGGGAGGTCTGGCGAAGGGCCGAAGCGCTGACGAAACAGGTCGTCCAGGCGACGAAAACAGGGGGAGTGGTATGACCGATCTTACCGCAAACGAAGCCGCGGCGAGGACCGGTCTGGATCTGGTACTGACAACGCACGCCTCCCGAACACCACTCGCACACCACCACGCGCCCGACCACCTCCAGTGCCAGGCCACCCGGGCGGGAGGACACTCGTGTGCCTCGTCTGCGGGGACTGCTGCGGCTGCTGCGGAGGCTGCTGCGCGACTCTGCGGCTGGTACGGCTGCTACTGCTGCTGCTGTGACTGCAGAGGCGGCGGCTCCGCTGGACCAGGCAGGGTCCCCTCGTCCGCTCCAGCACCAGACGACCCGACTCCACCACCACCCCCTCCTGCACCCCGCCTCCTCCGCGCCCAGCCTTGGGGCGGCGGCCCTTCCCGAACGAAACTGCGCTGCAGCAGCAGTCTCAGCCACAAGCGACAGAACCGTCGGAGAAGGTACACTGAGCGGGGGCACAACCCTGAAAGATAGGGACCGCTACGGTACCGCTCGCCTGGGCGATGGAGCGTGGCGGGTCTCGATAACAGTCAGGGTGTCTACAAAGTCGGGAGGGTGAGCTCACCGGGGTGGATGCTAAGGAAGCGGTCGCGGGCGGCGGCAAGGCGGTCAGGGAGGCGGGTGGCAAGCAGGTAGAGGGTAGAGGTAATGGGCGGCTGGTGGGCTCTAAGCTGTGTCAGTGCAGGCAGCGCGCCAGGTCTCATCTATCGAGCGCAGGTGGGCAGCTAGGTCAGAGACAGTGGGGAAAGACGCAAGGTCGGGAAAGAGCATCGGGAGGATCAGGCGACCCACCGAGGCAGCAGGAGGGGTGGAATAGCGCTTGATGACAGCATCTAAGTAAGCTGGGCGGTAGTGATTGACCTAAAGCGAGGGCGCTCAGACGGGGGAAGGGCATTGCTAATGGCAAGCTGAGCGACAGCGTCGGGAAAGCCAGACAGAGCGCGCAAGGCAGTGGCTGCAGTAGACTCGCGCTCAGCGGGTGTGGGATCAGCGGGCAGAACAGCAGGGGGGTCTGGGCAGGGGAGCGTACCGTCAAGGTGTGTGGAAAGCGGGTGGCCATCCTGCGACGATGACCAGTGAGGTGGCGACGGAGGTCGGCGAGCCACGCCTCAGAACTCCAAAGGCTAGCCTTCAGCGTCGAAGCGAAGCTCCGCCGCCATCAGGAGCAGTGCAGGACTGTGCAGTGTGGTGCAGTGCGGTGTGCAGTGCGGTGCAGTGCGCAGTGCAGCTGCAGGTGCAGTGCGGTGCAGGCAGTCAGATGCAGCGCGGTGCAGTGCGGTGCAGCGCGGTGCAGTGCGGTGCAGCGGTGCAGGGCAGTACGGTGCAGTGCAGTGCGGTGCAGGGCTGTGCAGGGCGGTGCAGTGCGGTGCAGGTGATGAGGAACAGTACCATGGAGGATGTAGGGCCGGGGCAGGGACGACGGGCGGGCCGCTCACAGCTCGGGGCAGGACGGGCGCGGGGGCCAGAAGCAATGGGTACCAGGCCGACGGGACGGGCGCCGGGGCCGGCTGGGACGGGCTCAGGGGCCGAGCAGACGGGCGCGGAGGGCGTGAGGGCGGACGCGGAGCCGGCTGAGACGGGCGCGGAGCCGGCTGGGACGGGCGCGGAGCCGGCTGGGACGGGCGCCAGGCAGGCGCGGCGGTGCCAGGCAGGGCGCGACGAGGCCAGGAGGGGCGCGACGGGGCTAGGCAGGGCGCGACGGGGCCAGGCGGTCGCGACGGGGCCAGGCGGGGCGCGACGGGGCTAAAAGGCGTGACGGGGCCCAGAAGGGGCGCGACGGGCTAGGGGGGACGCGACGGGGCCCAGGAGGGCGCGACTAGGGTAGGAGGCGCGACGGGGCCCAGGAGGGGCGCGACTGGGCTAGGAGGCGCGACGGGGCCCAGGAGGGGCGCGACGGGGCTAGGAGGTGCGGCAGGGCCCAGGAGGGGCGCGACTGGGCTAGGAGGCGCGACGTGGCCCAGGAGGGGCGCGACTGGGCGAGGAGGCGCGGCAGGGCCCAGGAGGGGCGCGACTGGGCTAGGAGGCACGATGGGGCCCAGGAGGGGCGCGACTGGGCTAGGAGGCGCAACGGGGCCCAGGAGGGGCGCGACGGGGCTAGGAGGCGCGGCAGGGCCCAGGAGGGGCGCGACTGGGCTAGGAGGCGCGACGGGGCCCAGGAGGGCGCGACTGGGCTAGGAGGCGCAACGGGGCCAGGAGGGGCGCGACGGGCTAGGAGGCGCGGCAGGGCCCAGGAGGGGCGCGACTGGGCTAGGAGGCGCGACGGGGCCCAGGAGGGGCGCGACGGGGCTAGGAGGCGCGGCAGGGCCCAGGAGGGGCGCGATTGGGCTAGGAGGCGCGACGGGGCCCAGGAGGGGCGGGACTAGGCTAGGAGGCGCGGCAGGGCCCAGGAGGGGCGCGACTGGGCTAGGAGGCGCGACGGGGCCCAGGAGGGGCGCGACTGGGCTAGGAGGCGCGGCAGGGCCCAGGAGGGGCGCGACTGGGCTAGGAGGCGCGACGGGGCCCAGGGAGGGGCGCGACTGGGCTAGGAGGCGCAACGGGGCCCAGGAGGGGCTCGACGGGGCTAGGAGGCGCGGCAGGGCCCAGGAGGGGCGCAACTGAGCTAGGAGGCGCGACGGGGCCCAAGAGGGGCGCGACGGGGCCAAGAGGGGCGCGACGGGGCTAGGAGGCGCGGCAGGCCTAGGAGGGGCGCGACTGGGCTAGGAGGCGCGGCATGGCCCAGGAGGGGCGCGACTGGCTAGGAGGGGCGCGACGGGGCCTAGCTAGGGTAGGGGCGGAAGCGGTAGGTGGGATCCTAACCTACGCGTGATACCATATCAAATTGAGAAGTGAATGATGGAGTAGAGAGAGAGTGCAGGTGAATATACTTAAGTGTTGTACCCTCTACAGTCTATGCAAACATAGGCGATACACATGTTTGACACCTACCCCCGCCATTTTGGAACAGTAATTTGTTGAGGCGTGGTTTCCAACTTGAGTCTCTTGGAGGGAGCCCTCTTTCAAGTTGGGCCAGCCTTCACTATTTTAACTTCTCGCTTTAACAAATCTACGTTGGTTTGATATAGTTAACTGATCACGAGATTCTGTACCGTTTACAACGGGGACTCCAGCATCATCGGCCTGTCTCTGCCAGCCTTGGGCTTTGTCCCACGCTCCTACCTAGTAAAGCCTCCGAAAAAAAAGGCGTCTGATTGTTGTTGCAGCTGATAGGCGTCTGTCCCTCCTCACCATACCCTTTCCCGAACCGCCAGGCGGGTTCGTACTTGCAATCCTATCTTCGCTCGGATAGGAGAAACCTTGCGGCGAACGTCTGGCGACGCGAGGGTCTGATCGCAGCGGCCCCAGCAGGCTCTGCGACGATGTCGATGGCAATGGCGGCTCGCCTTGCACCTGCCACCACTCCTGTGAGCTCCGGGAATCCCGGTTCGGAAGCATTAGACGGACTACGCGGAGGACGGGAAACCTAATTTCATATGATCCGTCTTGATTCTCCTAGTCCTCGTCTTAAACCTCTCACTTAACACTCTCCGATGTCTCCCCGTCTCGATTCGCTGCCTTCTCCTGTCTCCCTCCCTTCCATCCTCGCTCGTCCTTCAGTTGACAACCGCGCGTCGTGCGGCTCTTCGTACCGGACACCGTCTTGCACTCGCGGCGCCGGACGTGTCGCGGGTTAGGGACAGGCGAGGTGACCCAACCTATGTACGTGGTTCGCATCCCCTCGCGAGAAGTGTGATGACCAGCGATAGTAGCAGACATGCGTCGAGGCTGATGTTCCAGCCTCCACACACATGCGCCGAGCATCACATTGCGCCTGACATGCACGGAGCATCACATTGTGCCTGACATGCACGGAGCATCGCATTGTGCCTGACATGCTCAGAGCATCCCCTGACACTCTCGGAGCATCGCGTTGTGCCTGACATGCACGGAGCATCACATTGTGCCTGACATGCACGGAGCATCACGCTGTGCCTGAACATGCTCCGAACGAGCTGTGCCTGCAACGAGCCGTGCCTGTGCCTGAGATGCTTGCACGATTTCCGTCAGGTTTGCCGTCTCTCATGATCTCGTAGCAATCATGCCATTGCCATCGTCTCATCATGACACCATGCCACAATGCTCTTAGTGCGAGTGTCAATGCATCAGGTCCCTCCACCTCCAGTGACCCCCAGTAACTTATGTCGCTCCCCTCCATCCCCCCATCCCCCCCCCACAACTCCCATTCATACCCCGAATCCCATTGCTCAGCACGTGATGACGTCAGCCATGCCACATCGCCAACAAGTCACCATCGCTCAAGCCACAGCTGCTCTGCACCGTGCCGAACCTGTCTCCACACCTGAGGTAAGGTAACGACTCCGTCCAATCCTTACCCACAAGAAGCACCATCTACACTGCAAATAGCGGATTGTCCAGTTGAATCAAATCATAAATATAGCGCGTCCTGTCCATTGACCATTGTTCTGCAGCTTAGCAAACTGTGCCCTTGCATGGCATGACTCTTCCCTGTGAATTGCAATGCAATGGCTTGGCGTGGTGTGTGGGATGCTTCAACTGCATGCTGTGGTATATTGATGGCATGGTATGGTGCATTGATGCCATGTGTGGCACACTGATGGCATGTGTGACACATGTGACACATTGATGCCATGTGTGACACATTGATGCCATGTATGGCACGTGAATGGCAGGTGGAGGCCCTGCTGGACAGCATCAAGTGGGATGAGAAGGGGCTCGTGGTGGCCATCGCCCAGCACGCCGACACAGGCGCCATCCTCATGCAGGTGGTTCATTCTTATGCATCTGCACCATTCTCATGCAGGTGTCTCCGTCTCTGCATCACTTTCCAGCGCTCAGTGCTAGCCTCTCACATTCCTGAATTCTGCCCCAAAAGCGCCCGAATCGGTCGACTGAGTGCATACCTTTCTCTCCCTTGTTCCAGGGTGCCATTCTTGCAGAATGCACATGTCCTGTTGCATTATCCCTGAGTACAATAGTGGTCATGATAGCTGCATGTCATCTCCTGACATCCAGTGCCACGTGTCACCCCTACAGGGCTTTGCGGATCGCGACGCGGTGTCGGCCACGCTGGCGTCTGACCGCGCCACCTTCTTCAGCCGCTCCAGGAAGTGCCTGTGGACCAAGGGGGAGACCTCAGGGCACTTCATCAATGTTCTCGACATGTACATTGACTGCGATAGAGACACGGTGAGTTGTGACTCGTGAGCTTGACACTAACTGCAAATCAAACCTAGTCCTCCCCACACCTCATCAACATGCTGGACTATGGACATGTCCATTGACTGCGATGGAGACACGGCGAGCTGAATCATCTAAGCACACGTGCACTTTTCCAGTGCAGACCATGCAGGAGGTTCCTCTGTATTGCTTGTGCATTTCGTTCGGGTCTGCCTTCCTCTCATGCCTGGTGGTACGTCCAATGGACCAATGGCGTCTCTTGTTTCCTGTCCCTGCAGATAATTTATCGTGGCATTCCTGACGGCCCCACATGCCATACTGGCACCGACACTTGCTTCTTCACAAAGATTGATGCATCTTCCGATCCACATGTGAAGTGCGAGTCTGCTTCTGGCGAGGATGTTGCCTGTGCTCAGAGCACTCTCTTCCAGCTAGAGGGGGTCATTGCGGCCCGGAAGAAGCAGATGGAGCAGCAGCAGGAGGAGCAGGAGAAGACAGGGGAAGCACCGGTGAAACCATCCTGGACGGCGCGCTTGCTTTCAAATCACTCACTGCTTTGCTCCAAAATCAGGTGTGCTCCTCTCTTTTTCGTTGTTGTGGTACTACCTTTGAAGCACATTCTGTTAATAGTTTTTACTTACATGGCTTTCCCATTGTGTGACCTTGTGTCCGATACCAGGGAGGAGGCTGATGAGTTGTGCCAAACCTTGGAAGGGAATGAGACGAGGTGAACGAGCAGCTTCTGAAATGGCCGACGTTCTTTACCATTCCATGGTTTTGCTTGCAGTCAAGGTGTGTGAAGCATTTGAGGGCTTTATGCGATCCTTTCATTGGTTCATGCTCATTACCATGTGCTTTTATGTTTCCCAGGGTGTCAAGATGGAAGATGTGGTGGGCCATCTACGCAACAGGTTTTCCATGTCTGGAATTGATGAGAAGGCCAGTAGGTCTCCGAAGAACAAACATTGACATCTCTTGGTTTGTTAGATTAGTTTTGATAGAGCTGAATATAGATTTCGAAAGATAATTTCTGTAGAGTAATGCTGTGGCTGCTTCATCAATGTGAAAGAAAGGTTGATTGGAGAACATATCTGTTGCCGATGTTGGTTCAACAGTTCACCCTCCCACCATTCAGCGAATGCCTTGTTGGCAGCCATTTGATACGATTGTCCCAGTTGAGATCTCAACAGACTGACGGTGACGGACCTATGGAATGCGCTGGGTTGTGAGGGAGGACCATCTTTCACGATCCGATGTCGATGAGATTCAAGAGCTTGCTGTTGATATCTTGTGGAATCGACATTTTCCCAGTTCCAGCTCCGATGCGATGAAGATCCAATAAAAAATTCTGGGGGCACGACGCAACTTCGAGGCATGTGTGCTGTAATGTGAATGTGCACTGCCACTTCTGCTCCAGGAAGGGAACTCCGAAATTGCTGCCCGAGGCGGATTCCTTCTCGGTCTCTGTGATGGAGATTTTTATCGTCTAACTTAGCTCGACATCGAGAAAATGCCAACCTTGGTCCCTCGAGTTCGGAGGGTTCGGAAAAGCAGCTTTTGAAATGCGGGGCGACTTGTCAGCATCAGTTTTTTCACAAGTTCGTCACGAAAATGAGTAAATAATTTACTTCAAATGTGTACGCCTTAAAGGTTACCCAGAATGAGAGATATTGTAGGGAAAAGTATGTTTCACCATTCGTGAGTTGCCAGTCGGATCTGTCGACGTCAGTAGCAACGACGATGTCCTCCAAGGCGTATCCAATCAAATATTCTCGCTGAAGGCTTGCAGTAAAGATCTTGTCGCTTTGTTGAGGTGCCCATCGGCGTGCACACAATCCGCCAAACGCGTCCGTCTTGTTGCACTTGTCGCCTTTGAAACTTGCCTTCATATCCAATCTTCATCCAGCCAGCCTCCGCAGCCGTGCTGCACGGCCTACACTCTGCCAAATCTTCCACACCAAGCTGCGCCGTGCCACTCTCTTCCATTCCTCAAGATCCTCTGTCGCGATTGCTCCTTGAGGGGAGGGGAACTCCTGGAAGGAACTGTTCAGCACGGACCTCACTCTACCACCAGACACACACACACACACCGCTCTCCCCCCCCTTCCTACCACACCCCCCATTCTTTCCCCAAGCCCAGCGAAGCACAGCCGGACGCGTGCGCACGGGGAGCAACAGCCGCGCCAAGCAGCGCAAACTGGCAGGCAGGCATGCTGCCTGCCCGAGCCACAGCCGCCTCCCCTCCCCTCCCCCTCCAACCACCTGTCATCCTCGTCCGCTTCCTCTGCGCTCGCGATTTCCTCGACCCACATCAAACAGCTTGCCAGGATTCTTTGCTGCTTTCAACAGCACGCTCAAGAGAGGAGTGGCCCTCACCTCACTCCTCTCTTGGGCACCAGCGCACCGCACAACCCAGGCGGTCCAACAACAGTGCCCGTCTGCATCCAGCCACAACAGTGCCCGTCTGCATCCAGCCCTAATCTCCGCAACAATTCTCTTCTTCCGTCTTCTCTCCTTCTCTTCGGTTCGGTTCATCGTTCTAGACCCTGTGTTGTGTACCTCTCGCTTCGCTACTCCTGTGCTTCAGCACCAGCTTTAGAAATGTGCGGAGGTTTAGATACCCCTGCCTCGCTTCCCTCGTACTTTCGACCTGCGCTTTCCAGAAGCACTGCCAGTGGCTGTTCTTTCCACGTCGGCGGGTCCATGCAGTCAGGCAATGGAGACCAAACCCTTTCTCTGTCTCTCGTGCCGTCTCCGCCGACCTCCCATGCTACCATAACGGAGCAGCAAAAAGACCGGGCGTGCCGCCTCGAAACGGTCGATTTCTTTCGACCCTGCTCTGATCCTTCATCCAGCAAACCCTGTGCCTCAACGGTCCCTGAATCTGCTCCCGCCGTTCCACAGACCACCGCTGCGAATCCCCAGTATTGTCACGGCGACCAGTCACATCATAGCGCTGAGCCAGCGCGTGCCGGGTCGTGTGCCGACTACTCAATAGTCTTGTCCTCCACAATCCAGTCTCGCGTTCTCTCGCCACAGAAGCAGCAGCCGTCGGCCGGCCGATCCTCGTTATTGACGTCCTCGATAGCTGCGTCCGTAGCCGAATGGTCCAACGCGATGATGCCGCCGCCAGCAACAGCAGGGCTTTCCAAGAGTCCTCTGCCAGGCTCGTCCCTCACGAGTAACGATCCCCACAGACACACTGTTACAGCTGTTCGCCGACCATCAGGTAACCCGATTTCGCATCAGCGTTCGCTGTTTGCGGAGAAGCAGGGAGACCCCGCGGAAGCGGACGACCGGTCCGCGAAGAGGCCTCGGTGCGAAAGTCTGTCGCATCAACTTCCCAGCCTCAGCAGCAGCACGGCCTGCACAGGCAATATCCGCGATAGAAACCCCACCGTTACACGACCTGGCCGATCCAACCCACCGCCACCTGTCCCAACCAAATTCTCCTCCGCGAACATCGCGAAGGATATTCAGAAATCGGCGCGGGGAGACCTGTCGTTAGACCTCCCCCCGCCATGCTGTTCCTGGATGTGCATTTACTTCTCCGTCCCCTGCCGCCAGAAGAACCGCCTCGCCGCCACTGCTAGCGGGAGGACCACCAGCGTCAGTGCGGTCAGCGGTAGCGTGATGAGCGGCGGCGACAGCGGCGTGAACAACAGGAGGAGAGTCCGCCCCGCCGCGCTTCCCGCGTCGAGCGGCACCAGCCTGTCCGTCGCGGCAGCTGCCCCGCAAAACCTGCCGCGAAAGCCGGCGGCGAGGGCGGGGAGCGTAAAGGAGGAGCGGGAGGAGTGGGTGAGGGACGATCAGTCTAAGGCCGGCGGAGGTGCGCATCTGGCGAGATGCGACGCTGCGAACGAGAGTGCGAACGGTGGGGATTCATCGGTGCATGGAGGCCTAAATTCCACGCTGAAGTCGGCGTTGGCAGTAGCTAGAGGCGGTCTGTTGGCAGATGCGCCAGCAGCAACGGGAGGCGCGTCAGCAGCAACGGGAGGGGGTGTCTTCGCATCAGCAGGAGCGGCGAGCAAGCCAGCAGGAGCGTCGGCGTCTGAGCTGCTGGCGTCGTATGCGGCGTCTAGCTCGGCGTCCCCTGCCCTCCGCGCCTTCCTCGCTCTCTCCCCGGACCTCTCGTCCCTGCTTAACCCATCCTTCCCTCCCCCGCCCTCCGTTGAGGCTACTGATGCAGCCTCTGCTCTCCTGAGGCGGTTGCACTCCGACTCGGCTGCTGCTGCCGTGGCTGCCGCCACTGCTGCTCGTTTGCAGCTGCTGCAGCAACTCTCTGCCGCGCAGCAACAGCAGCAGCAGCAGCAGCAACAGCAGAACCCGCAACACCAGCAGCAACATCAGCAGGAGCTACACCAACAGCAGCAGCAACAGCGGCAGTGGTCAATGGAACCTGTTGCTGAGCTGCTTACAAGGTCACAAAGAGACAACAGCTGCCATCCACAAACAGAGCAGGAGATGCGGCAGAGCAGCGCAGCTCATCACAATGTCTCAATGGACTCCATGAACCGTGGATCCATCGTGGTAACCCAGAACCATTCTGTGGGTGTGCCCATGGCAGCACCAGCCTTTGCAGCAGCATTGTCGCCTGTCCCTGAGCCAATCCGACAGAGCTCCACCCAGGAAGAGCGTTGGTGTGTGCCGGCTCCTCTCACTCATGGATGTGGCCATTCGTCCCCTCCTGTGGCCCGGAACAACAGCAAGGACCGCGTTTCTAGTTTTATCGCACCAGATGAGGGCCAGAATTCCAGGAAGAACAAGGCTCTGGACCTCTCTCTGCGGTTGTAACAATTTGTGTGGGGTGGAGACTTCGTGGCTAACCTGAACGATGCTGGATTTACAATGTGACAAATATGTTCACTGTGTTGTGTGTAACAGCTTTGTGTACATAGTTTTTATTGGTGATTTGTGTGTGAAGTAAATCGTCTGGTGTTGTAGTAGACTAAGTATAAAACTATAAACACGAACACTTGGCAAATCCTCAAGTGTTGGTCCAGGATCTTTGCTGGAATGGTAGACTAGTACGACAGCAGAAGTCTTGTAAAATGTAAAGGTCAAGGTTGAATAACCTGAGTACGTGAACTTGTGGTAATCAAAGTTAATAATGACAAAGATCTAACAAGGATGTTTAGTTCTACGAAAAGTACCTGTTCGCTATGTCAAAGTGAGAACGAATAATGACTAGAGGTGGAAACCTAGAACAAATACCAGTTGGTTGTACTCACTAGAAGCATACCTCAGTCTAGCCTATAACTTCTACATAGATAATATGTATAAGTTGACACACCCCCTAGGCTAGACAAGGGGTGAAACTAAACAAGAAACAAACAGCTCAGGGCGGCACTACTAGTCCAACCACTGAGCAGGGTCTGGAGACCAGTCAACAAGAATACAACCAAAATGAAGCAAGCCAGGGTGGCACTACTAGTCCAGCCACTGGAGGTAAGGCCACAAGGCCAGTCTGACAAGCATATATAATAGAGAGTACACAATCAGGATCCTAACAGGGGAGCAGCTACAGGAACAAGACCAAGCTGTACACAGTGCCGCTGATGATCTTTAGGCGCAAGCGCCTTAGTAAAGATATCAGCTGTGTTGGCACCTGAGGCCAAGTGAACTACGCGGGCCTGGCGGCGCTGCTGTAGCTCCGCAGGAGAAAGTACCGCAGCTGGATATGCTTCGCTCTGCCCTCAAGCCGAGGCTCCTGACACAGGAGTATCAGGCCCTGTTGTCAGCGAACAGGACCGGGGCAGAGCTAGGCCGCTCACCTAAGTCTGTGAGCAAGAAGGTCAGCCAGCAGAGCTCCTGTGCCGCCATGGCACCAGCGTAGATCTCAGCCTCACAGCTAGACTGAGCCACAGACGACGAGCGAGTGGATCTCCAAGAGATAGCACCCGAACCAAGGCTGAAACAGTAGCCCTGTGACGACCTGAGCGTCTCAGCGTCGTCTGCCCAAGAAGCGTCTGTGTGCCCAGTAAGGACCACTGGCCTGCGTCCTCCTAGCACTAACCCCATGCCTGATGTACTAGCAAGATAACGCAAAACCCTCTTAGCGGCAGACCAGTGCTGAGGTCGGTGTCTGCCTGTAGC